ATTATTTGGTTTTTTGTGTGTCCCCTCTAACTTTTGTTCCTCCATTCCAACTTTCCTGCCCTCTTTCGAATTCCATTTAAATTTATCTCGGTTTTTCAGCTCTACTTTGCATTCTTTAGGTGTTTGCTCTAGGGCTCTGCTGTCCAATACAATAGTCAATAGTCACATGTGGCTGTCAAACACTTGAAATGTCACTAGTCCAAAATGAGATGTGCTGTAAGTATATAATACACTCTGGATTTTGAAGACAGTATGAAAAAAAGAATGTAAAATATCGCAATAATTTTATAGCAATTACATGTTAAAATGATAATGTTTTATATATATTAGGTTGAATAAAATATATTATTAAAATTAATTTCACCTGGTTTTTTTTTTACCTTTTTAATATGGCTACTGGAAATTTTTAAATTGCATATGTGGCCCACGTTACATTTCCATAGGACAGCGCTACTTTAGAGATTACAATATGCAAAGTTAAATTTTCACAGGGTACATAAGTTAATATTGTACCACCACACATAAAATATAGAAACTTTACTACTATATAGATTCATTTACCACCATCACTCCATCCTTTATGCTGTAATTGTTGTAGGTACGACACCTACATATGTTATAGACCCCACAAGACAATGTAATCATGTTTGCTTTGAAGAGTCAAATGTACTTCAAAGAACTTTAGAGAAAAAATAGTCCTTTATATTTACCATCTTCATTCCTTCCTGGAGATTTAAGTTTCTATCGTGTTTCTCCTTTTTGGATCTCTCTTTTCCAGAATTCCCACCTCACTTTCCAGTGAATGTGGTTGCCACAAACTCTATCCTCTGGTTCCTCAGTGCAGCAATACTTTCTATTGGAGTGGTAGCTGCCCTGTGCAGTTTTCCCTACTTCTCTCTCTGCTATCCCCCATCCTCCCAGCTTATAGCTTCTATCTTTGGGACAATCTGTCAAGTAGGAGCTTTACTTGGCTTTACCACCAGCAGTGTCCTAGGCAGTTCTTCTTCAGAGGCTGAGGTCTTCACAACTACACTAAATGACATTCCTAAAGGCGAAGAGTGAACTAGTTATCAAACTTTATTAAGTGTACTTAAGAATACCTCAATTAAGGATGATATAAGAGAATAACAATGTAGAAAAGGAAGATTTAAAACTGGGCATCAGATATTATTGCTCCTAGAGTCCACCAGTCACTCCTTCATTTGGAATTCCCTGCTGGACCTTGTCTCCTTAGCCCCAGCATATCACTATGTTGTTGAGGCTGGATTCTCTCTTTTCTCCAGAAACCTCCATATTCATCAGAAGAAACAAAAAACTCTTAAAATCAAAATAATCTCCAAAGAATTACACCCTGTCCCGAGGACGAGAATGTTTCAGTATAGTATACCAGTTGTTAAAATACTGAGATCCCTCTGTACTGAATTCGTAAATAGCCAAAGAGCTGCTGCCCTGACCCGCTCCCTGTCCCTGCATCCCTCCCACCCTTTTGCCCCCTCCCAGGACCCCCTGGGCCTCACTCTCATCCAGCAACTGAAGACTTACCTGTTTTATCAGTTGTTGAAATATCACCCCTATGTGCTACCAGTGAAAAAACCTTTTAGTGGTAGACAAACAGAATATTTAGTATTTTAGTCTGAAGCATTCAGATTACTCCTCAGGTTCAGAAGTTCCCCTAAAATAATGAGTGGTTATAAGCTCTGCATCTACATGAACTAAAAATTGGCCAAAGAGGTTCTTCCAGGAAAATGGCCAGGGCTTCCACCAAAGACACATTTGTGTTGCTGTTCTAGATGGAAGACACTGCTTTTAAAAAAACAATTGCTCTGCTGTGCTTACCTAGTTTCTTGTTGTCATTTTGTGCTTGTCATGTCTTGTCTCTCTAACATAAATGACATGTTGATTGCTCCGTCATTCCCAGAGCTGCCCACACAGCAGTAGGTGTCTGATAACTGCTTGCTGAACAAAAATTTTCCCCAGAAAAATCCAACAGAGGGGGCCTCACCACATAAGTCAAACGCATTTGAAGACTAAAATGATGGTGGGTTGAAAATCTATTTCACAAGGTAAGGATGCGTTTGGCGTGGCTTGCAAGAAAGAATGTGCTACAGCGTTGTATACAAATATAAATGTGAATATGACAATTTGAGCTTAATGAGGAAGACAAAAGCCCTGGCAAAGAGATGGACAGTCTCTCTTTCCTACCTACTTGCTACTGTCCCTCCACAGGGAAAGGGACAGGGACAAACACAACAGAAGAATTATGGAATGTTTTACACATATATTCCAGTAATTAAACTGAAGACCTTTCAAGGGGGGTCAAAGCCAAGTTTTACCCCCCAGGATGAACTCAGCAGTGAGACTTAAAACACACACACCTCAAAAAATTATAAAATACCTAAACAACCATCGACAGGAGACTAACTGAACAAGTTTTATATATCCTTATTATAGGATACTGTGCAGCTATTAGAGAGAATGTGGTAAATTTATATATGTACTGATATGGAAAGATGTAGACGAGTTAGTGCTAAGTGAAAAAAGCAAACGACTGAGTAATTTAACACAAACTTGTTTTGATATAAGTTCTCCCATAGTGGTGTGCTGGAGCTGACTTGTACTGGCTCAGGAGAGCCAATCGTTACATTTTCAGGAATTTGGCAAGCTGGTTGTTGAACAATAGATAGCTTAAAATCAGCCACGATGAGCATATTTGCACCAAAGAAATCAGCACCTTACAAATAAGGGCTTTTTTTTCCCCCTGCACACGACTGCTCAAAAAAAGGCAGATGTAAGTTTGTATAAGCATATACAATTATCTGGAATGATATATTAACAAACTGTGAATTGTTGAATTACACATACTGATTTTGTAATTTTAAAAATGGAAAAAAAAAAATGCAACAGTGGTAATCTCACAAAAAAAGTGAATGCTACCATCCTGTAAATAAAACCCACTTAAAAGTTTAAGTCGGGGCCAGGCCAGTGGCGTAAGCGGTTAAGTTTACACGCTCTGCTCCAGTGGCCCAGAGTTCACAGGTTCAGATCCCAGGTGCAGACCTACACACCACTTATCAAGCCATGCTGTGGCAGGCATCCCACATATAAAATAGAGGAAGATGGGCAAATGGGCACAGATGTTAGCCGAGGGCCAATCTTACTCACCAAAAAGAGGAGGATTGGCAATAGATGTTAGCTGAGGGCTAATCTTCCTCATCAAAAAAAAAAAAAAAGTTTAAGTATAGCATTTTCTGATGACCATGCTCAAAATTTCAAGAAAGGCTAAAACAATTTAACCTACGATATTTTAAGGGCTATGTATGTATTTGGTAAACTTAATATATTTCAATTCTGTGTTTAATACTAGAGCTGTTCAGAGCTATATCATAGAGCTAAGTCCACAATTCATACAAGTTTAAAAACTGGTTCAAATATTTATAACATTGATAATGGGAAAATAGATACTATCCTTAATATGTGAGCATCCATATAAACATACCTCTATGTGGATATATCTTTATGAGGCACATTCCTAGATTTAGAATTTTAGTGTCAAAGCATAAAAATAGGAATTTTTGATAGACTGCCAAATTATATCAAAAGACTGTATCAATTATACTCCCATCACCAATGTATGGAGAGTACCACACCAATATCTGATATTATGAATATTTAAAAATATTTAAACCATCTGATAAGCAAAATTTGGCCACAAAAAATTAAAAAGATCTCTGGATTTCAGTTGACAGTTCTCTGATTATTATTAGTTTAGCTTTAAAAAATATATTAACTATTTGTATTTTATTTCTATGAACAACCTAGTTACCTAGTCTTTGTACATATTTTAATTGGATTACCTTTTTATTATTAATTGTAAGAGCTCTTTAAATATTGTGTCAATTAACCTTTTATCTGTCAAAAATGTTACAAATATTTGTTCTCATAGTCTGTTGCTTGTCTTTATTTATTTATTTTTTTTGTGAGGAAGATCAGCCCTGAGCTAACATCCATGCTAATCCTCCTCTTTTTGCTGAGGAAGACCGGCTCTGAGCTCACATCTATTGCCAATCCTCCTCCTTTTTTTTCCCCCAAAGCCCCAGTAGATAGCTGTATGTCATAGTTGCACATCCTTCTAGTTGCTGTATGTGAGACGCGGCCTCAGCATGGCCAGAGAAGCGGTGCGTCAGTGCGCGCCCAGGATCCGAACCCGGGCCGCCAGTAGTGGAGCGCGCACTTAACTGCTAAGCCACGGGGCCGGCCCTGCTTGTCTTTTAAATAGTTGGTGTTGTTTTATAGAAATTTTCATTTTTTTCTCTATCAGATATTTTGGTCTTTTCCTTTATGGCTTCTGGATTTTTTTGTTGTGCTTAAGAGGAACTTTCCTATTCTAAGATTAAAAAAAACCAACAACTACTTTGTTCTAGTTCTTGCGTAAGTTACTGTATGTGTGTGTCATTTAGATATTTAATTCCAGAAGGTATTTTACTGAATATGTTGAGTAGAAATGAATTAAACTAATGTATCATTACAAGTCCTACCCATTGATTTTTAAGTGCCACATTTATTCTAGTATATATATGTTCTACATTTTACATGGATTCCTGAATTTTAGTATTTTAATGAGGAAAACTTCAGAGTAGCTATAATTCACTTTTTTGTAAACCAAGCCCTTCAAATGATGTTTTAACTACTATTCCATAGTTACTGTACAGCTGTATGAGAGAATATTTGGTCATTTTGCTGTATAAAATTACCTGGCAATATAGCTATTGAGAGGTCTCGTTTGACAATATAAATCTTTCTAGAATTGCCTTCAATGCTTGATGCTGAAACAAATTGTCAATAAAATGTGCATCTAGTTTAATGTAAGTCTTTAAATCTATTTTTGAGGGTTCATCTACATTATGCCATTATAAAACTATCTCATTAAAAAATTTCTCAATGTAGCATTTCAAAGTCTAAAGCACAATTAAAATAAAATCATGCCTTTTTTCTTTTTTTAGCAAGCTCTTGCCTGTGACACTGTGTTTGCCAACATGGCCCCCAAAAAGAAGACTGTCCGAAAGAACAAAGGGGATATCAATGAGATGACCATAATTGTAGAAGACAGCCCCCTAAACAAACTAAATGCTCTGAATGGGCTTCTAGAGGGAGGCAATGGCCTTAGCTGCATTTCTTCTGAATTAACAGATGCTTCTTATGGCCCCAACCTCTTGGAAGGTTTAAGTAAAATGCGGCAGGAGAGCTTCCTTTGTGACTTAGTCATTGGCACCAAAACCAAATCCTTTGACGTTCACAAGTCAGTGATGGCTTCATGCAGTGAGTACTTTTACAACATCCTCAAAAAAGACCCATCTACTCAAAGGGTGGATCTCAACGATATCTCACCGCTAGGCCTGGCCACTGTCATCGCGTATGCCTACACCGGAAAACTGACTCTCTCCTTGTATACAATAGGAAGCATTATTTCTGCTGCTGTTTATCTTCAGATCCATACTCTTGTAAAGATGTGCAGTGATTTTCTGGTACAAGAGATGAGTGTTGAGAATTGCATGTACGTTGCTAACATTGCTGAAACATACTCCCTGAAAAATGCAAAGGCAGCAGCCCAAAAATTTATCCGGGATAACTTCCTGGAATTTGCAGAATCAGATCAGTTTATGAAACTTACATTTGAGCAAATTAACGAACTTCTTATAGATGATGACTTACAGTTGCCTTCTGAAATAGTAGCATTCCAGATTGCAATGAAATGGTTAGAATTTGACCAAAAGAGAGTGAAATTTGCTGCAGACCTTTTGAGCAATATTCGCTTTGGTACCATCTCTGCCCAAGACCTGGTCAATTATGTTCAGTCTGTACCCAGAATGATGCAAGATGCTGATTGTCACAAACTTCTTGTAGATGCTATGAACTACCACTTACTTCCGTATCATCAAAACACATTGCAGTCTAGGCGCACGAGAATCCGAGGGGGCTGTCGGGTCCTCGTCACTGTTGGGGGACGTCCAGGCCTTACTGAGAAGTCCCTTAGTAGAGACATCTTGTACAGAGACCCTGAAAATGGATGGTGCAAGCTTACAGAAATGCCAGCCAAGAGTTTTAATCAGTGTGTGGCTGTGATGGACGGATTTCTTTATGTGGCCGGTGGTGAAGACCAGAATGATGCAAGAAATCAAGCCAAGCATGCAGTCAGCAATTTCTGCAGGTACTTGCTCCTTTATTAGGAACTGAAATGGTTCAATAGTGTGAGGAATTTGCCCTGATATAGAAGTAAATTAATCATGCTTATTATCTTAGTTCATTGGCTCAGTAAATCAATAATGCCACATTATATATATACAACACTTCACATTATATAAAGTGCAATCACATATATTATGAACTCTAGATTTCTGAGTAAGCCTGTGGAGTGAGCAGGGAAGATATGATTATTCTGATTTTACATGTGAGAAATCTGATACCCAGAGAAGTTATACCGCTAGGAGGTGGCAATTCACATTTTCTCATTTCTAGTCAGGCGCTCTCCACAATACACTGCGTTTCTGAAGCACACTGGGTACAAATTTAGTTTTTAACTCTAAGTGGTAAGAAAAATTAAAATAATACAAAATTTCTTTTAAGTGACTCTTACTGATGACTGTCAGATTGATATCACCAAATAGAATGAGATCATTAAAAATGTGGCTCCTAATTAATTTTAAATATTTTTCGAAGACTGAATACCATAGAAAATGTCAATATTTTTGATGCATGTAGAAAGAGTAAAAGTATAATAAATCCTTCAGAAAATGGAATTCAAATGCCATGCTATTTTTGTATATTTATGATAAAACTATATGATTGAACTTCCATATATATGAAACGTTCAGAAAGTCATGCTTATATCATGGTAGTAGTACAAGGTCAAACCTAACTCATGAGCAAAATCTGAAAATTTATACAGTATATCATGAAAAATATTCTTTACTTCATTATATGTATGTGTCATTTAAATGAATCCAAACAATTAGTTGATTTTTAGCCTTTAATAACTATAGTTAAGTTTTGATTTGGAGGTTAAATGGGACAAAGATGAGTGAACGTCAAACTGAGGGAGTGAGTTCTGTGTTTACAAGACTTCGGAACTACGTAAACAGGAAAGCATCATTTACTCTGCTTGTTATCCTCCTGCTAATATTCAACTGTTAGTACTCAAGTCACAGTATTGATTTGCAGTATTGATTGCAGTACTGATTGCAGTGCTTATGGGATATTAACTGTAATGAACACTGAAAAAATATATCCCTAAACTAAAAAATCTTACCTACTAATAAGTGCTAGAAAATAGAGAAGTATGGAAAGTTAAGGCTTTGTTGATATTTTTGGACATGAGTTCCCTCGATCTCATTCTAAACAGATGAGAGAAGGCTTGGTTGAGCGATTTAGCTTTACTGTTTCAAAGGCCAGGATAAGCGTATAAATAAGAAGGAGTTTGTGAGAAATGGAGATAGCCAGTTGGTCGACTCCTAGCTTATTTAAGCAGTGAGAAAGAGCTGGGGATGGTGGTGTCTGAAGATGAAGGGAACTGACTTGAATGCGGCAGTGTTCCCTTTTCTGATTGCCACAGATACCCAGCTTCCCTCCCCTCCTCCACATCTCATAAATCCTACTGGCTGATGGATATTTGAATCTGGAGGAAAGGGGACCGGAAGGTCGGTCTCTGTGGGGGCTTCTCCAGGTGGCCTGATAAAGGAAGTGGTTTTATAAACGGGGAGGAGGGAAGAGTCACCAAGGTCTGCCTTGCCTTTTCCAAGTGTCACACTTTTTCACTGGCTGAGAGAGAAAAAACAGCGCCAGGTCCCTAGCCTCCTTGCAGGAATAGTGTCAAAACTCCCACGTTATGGCTTGCGGAGTAACGTGAGTTCCCTGGCTGCAGTCAACGTGCCTGTCACACTTCCTCTGCCATTTCCAGATACGATCCCCGCTTCAACACCTGGATACACCTGGCCAGCATGAACCAGAAGCGCACGCACTTCAGCCTGAGCGTGTTCAACGGGCTCCTTTACGCCGTGGGCGGCCGCAACACGGAAGGCAGCCTGGCCTCGCTGGAGTGCTACGTGCCCTCCACCAATCAGTGGCAGCCGAAGACGCCCCTGGAGGTGGCGCGCTGCTGCCACGCCAGCGCGGTCACCGACGGCCGCGTGCTGGTGACCGGCGGCTACATCGGCGCCGCGTACTCGCGCTCCGTGTGCGCCTACGACCCGGCCAGCGACGCGTGGCAGGAGCTGCCGGGGCTGAGCACGCCCCGCGGCTGGCACTGCGCCGTCGCGCTGGGCGACAGGGTGTATGTGATGGGGGGCAGCCAGCTGGGGCCGCGCGGGGAGCGCGTGGACGTGCTGCCGGTGGAGAGCTACAGCGCGGCCAGCGGCCAGTGGAGCTACGCGGCGCCGCTGCAGGTGGGCGTGAGCACCGCGGGCGCCTCGGCGCTGCACGGGCGCGCCTACCTGGTGGGCGGCTGGAACGAGGGCGAGAAGAAGTACAAGAAGTGCATCCAGTGCTTCAGCCCCGAGCTCAACGAGTGGACGGAGGACGACGAGCTGCCCGAGGCCACCGTGGGCGTGTCCTGCTGTACCCTCTCCATGCCCAACAGGGTGACCCGGGAATCACGAGCCAGCTCGGTGTCCTCGGTGCCAGTCAGTATCTGAACCCGGGTGGATGCGGGGACGCAGGAAGAACCAATATTTATTCGTGGTTAACCTTCGACTTAGCGAAAAGGAAAATATATAACATTTACTACAATGATGGTATTTTAAAATATATCGAGGCATATGTCTTGATGGTTTTAAATTCCTGGTATGGCGTAATCTACCTCTATCAATTTTTTTTAAAGCAAAATACAGAGCCATAGCCAACAAAGGAAAGAAACAGAATTGATTTCAGCGGCCGCTGGGTGGCAGGCAGAAGCCGTTGTCGGCACTCTTCCGTCGCGGCCCGTGACCTACACGTAGAACGGTTGCACCCCAATTTGAGATGTTTCTTCTACACGTTAGTCCCGTGCAGCTTATGTGAGTAAGCGATTTCACGGACAAAAGTTTATTTTCTTCTCTCTGTTTTTTTCTTTGGGAGATTGAAAATATTCCTTTATAAAATATTTTATTTTAAAATGGAAATCCGTCTCTATCCATAAAGACAAGATTTAATTCTATATGTCAATGCAGTTTCTTTTCCTATGCATGATTGAGTAAAGGATTTTGAAAGGCATCCCATGACAAAGTCACAAAGCTTAAAAACAAAGTCGGACTACAAAGTATTAACAAGGATTCCATCCAGGGACTGTCCGGTTCACACTTTTGGTTTTGGGGTGATTCCCTCTTCCTCCATTCCTCAGGCCTCGGTGTTTTTCATGTCAAAAAATCCTGCTCTCAGAGAAGGAACTGATGTTAGTCATTTAATTTATAGTGTAATTTTAAATCATTCTGTTGTTTCTCCTAAAAATATTTGCACTTTAACCCTGTCCCTTGTTAAAGGCATTGCAAGTCTCATGGGAGCCCCTCCCTCCCCTGAAAAACTACACCAAGATGGTTAAAGGCAATCTTGACCCTAATGTATTCCTGGGATGAACACTAAATAAAACCATGTCCATAAGGGTCGTTAACTTAAAGCTTATATAGTCTGAAGGTTATACAACCAATAACAGTAATTTGATTTCTCCCACTCTTTTGTATGGATGAGAATGAAGGAAACATCCGGAATTCTTGGATTTGGCAATAACAGGATGAATGGGTTCTCCTGTTGGTAAATGCCATTGTGTCCCATTTCATAGCAATCCTTATGATTTCTTAATTAAAATTCTAACACATTCATTTCACATAGAAATATTAAAATAATATATGCCCATTCTGTTATATCTTTTTAAATTTCATCTGCTCCAAATTAGCTTTGCAAATTAAAGTGTTCCCCTCGATATCAGTTTTCTTACATGTTTTCCAAGTTTTGGAGCAAGGGAATGATTGTAGTAAATGATATATATTTTCCTTTCTTATAATTTATCACTTTATTCTTTGATTGTTTGTTTTGGAGAGGAAATGGCCTGTTGATTATGGGTTATGTGCAATTGGATTTTGAAAAATAAGACAAACTATATAAGTGGCTAAACATGAGATATGTGGAAATACAACTGGATTTTCATTAATCCCATCCTCTCCCACCTTGTGTAGATAGGTTATTGCTAGAGTTACAATATTTATATTTAAAATATTTTATTCGAACTGTGAAAAGTGGTTCATAGAGTACACTTTGTGGAACAATTTTATATCGTTGCCCCTTATGAAAAGTTCAGTCTCTGTGGGTTTAATGGTAACACTCAGGTAAGGGCCATAAAGACTAAGTTAAGAACGAGACATGATTAATATAAAGACCCTGGGCTGTTTCCTACCCCACACACAGCATGAGGAGCTTCTCCAAGTAGGAGCAGATCTAAAGGCACCTGCTCCCTTGACTTATCTGCCCAGGCTAGAAAATAAAGCTGTGTGAGCCACTAGTTTATGGAGCAAGTTAAATCATTGAGTTCTTCAGTTACCAAGGTACGACCTATGGGTAACCTTTTGTCTTTGCAGCATCATTGGTAAAATAAACTTTTCATGACTGCAACTTCTTTCAGTTTGGTATAAATATATATTCTCATACAATGGAGAAACCTATAGTATATTATTAATTTTGAAAGAAAAAAAGGTGATTTGTTATGGATTACAGGTCATAAGTGGGCAAATAGACATAATTCCTCGATGCACACTAATAGATTTGTCTCCTATTGAGATCCTAGAAGTATTGTGAAGTAGGGGACTTAAGGCTTGGAATGCAATAAGAATCAATCAATTGTTATAAGCCAATAAGACCTCAATAAAAAAAAAGAATTAATCAATAGTAACATTTTATCATGGAAGAATGAGGAGAGATGCTGAAACTAGAGGATTTTTCATCTGTCCAAGCTTGATAAGATAGGTTGTGCAAAAACTTGGCAGTGGCTTTCTAGAGATGAAACTGGAGACATGTTAGAGCTGGGTAAATCACTTGAAATTACCATTTAATGTATTTTCTACTTTGTTTATCTGAAGACTCGGAAAATACACATATCTGGGCTCGCCAGCTTCCTGGGTGTATTGCTGTTCTATCTTCTGCTTCAACAGCTAGGTCAATAAAGAAAGACCGTTATGAAGTATACAGAATCAAAATAACGTGTGTCACCTTTCATGCATAAGTGAAACATACTCTGTAACCCAACTATTGAAGCAGTAGCTCCTAGAAAACTTGATGGTCTCTCCATGTTTCCCAACTGGAAAATTACTGCATTTTTATTATGTTTTAAGCTTACATTCAGTTATACTCCCAAGCCTTAGGGTCCAACCCTGTTTGTTGTTAGTGCTGTTGCATCGACTCTGACTCCCAGCGCTGCTGTGCACAGCAGAGCGGAACCCTGCCTGGTCTTTTTGCGCCATCCCCTTCCCTTCGCTGTGTCAGACAATGCTCTGCTTCCTAGGGTTTTCCTGGCCAATTTTCTCGGAAGTGGGTGGTCAGGTCCTTCTTCCTAATCTGTCTTCGTCTGGAAGCTCCACGGAAACCTGCCCACCGCAGGTGACCCTGCTGGTATTTGAAATCCTGATGGCATAGCTTTCAGCATCACAGCAACATGCAGCTGTCACAGTCTGACAACCAGCAGACAGGTGGTGTGGTTCCCTGACTGGGAAACAAACCTGGGCCACGGAATGAGAGCGCCGAATCTTAACCACTACACCACCAGGGCTGGCTCCAACCCTGTACCTCCCTTTATTTTTCCGAAAGAAAAGGGCTTGTTATTTTTGTAATGCCAGAGCTCTGTGATTAAATAAAAGCAACGGTTCAATGTATCAGAGAAATAGCATGTTACCTAGCAACTGAAATAACAAAACTCAAGCTCTCTTTTTCTGAATGGGCCAGAGTCCTCATGTGAAAGTCTCCAGGAAGCCAGAGTTTCATGTAGTCTGTCCAGTTCTCGTTAGGCTCTTGGAGCCCAGTTGTCATCCCTAATGCACTAGTTGCTTTCATTGGCATTGAATGAGTTTTATTTTTACTTCCTTTGTTGTAAGAATGATTATGAATAGAAGGTCAGTGATGGTACAGATTAATATAATTCTAAACAATGATTAGATGGTAGTGGAATGTTGTATGTGAGGAGGTATAATTGAGGTAATAAGGAAGTGAGGCTGTACTGAATGGTTCTATGAGTTAAGCAAAGCAGCAACTACAGTAATTGTATTTTACAAACGTGTGTAAATAGAGGTTTACCTGGAAATATGTAAGTGTTAAAATGTCAATTTTTTGCTGGTTATCCTGGCCAAATATCTTCAGAAATCATCCAAGTTACTAGATAAAAGAAACTAAAATCACTTCATTTAGTTAATTTTTTCCCTGAGTTACAAAGAAATGAATTTATGTAATCTCTGAATGATTATTCTGAATTCTTCTCTGACTTAATTGTCTCTGAATGAGCTAGATCTCCATCCCAGCCACTGATGAATATGTTCTTGAGCACAAGGCAGCATTAAAAGGAATTATTTTTCAGTATTTCTTTTTATACCAAGAAAAACAATAGGATAGTTTCCTAAACACTCCTCCATGGTAATTATGAGAACTAAAGATTCTAAAATAGTAGAGATTTACCCTCCAGCACATTCAGAGGGTAAAGACCATTTAAATTTCTCTTTCAGGGAATTTGAAATAAAATACTTGTCTTGAACACTCCTAAAAAACTTTGTATTTATTCAGCAAATTTTGGCAGAAAATTTGTTTGCTTAAAACATTCTGGTACTATAAAAGGAACAACAAAGTAAAATGTCTGTAGTGTTTGTAACCTCATTACTCTCAATAAAGCTGCATTCAAAAAGAGCCTGTCAATGATCAAACGTGGGTAGTTCTGAAGTGTTCTTTCTGTGATGATTGGGGTGTTTGTTTTTTTCTCTATTTAGTTTTCATGATGATTCACCTCAACAAAACACAACAACAAAAAAAGAAATGACACATAATTGAAAAGCTGTTCCAATGGCTTGAAGACTACAGAAAGAAAAAGGTACAAAACATCCCTAATAACTTGCTTTGTAACTCAGACAAAAGCCTAAGTGTGGTCTGTCTCAGCCCTCATCACTTAGAAGTCATAGATTAAGCGTGGTTTCTACTCTCCTTTCCACCCTGACCGCAGCCAACCTGGCAAAGACTCGGATTCATCATTTGCAATGAAACTACTTTTTAGGAAATGAAATTGTATTGCTGTACAGACAAACCTTCACGGCCCTTCTCTTCCGCCTCACCTTCCAAATGAGTGAATGAAATGTAACATGCAAAGATGCCCAGTCTTTGATCTGATTTAGTAGGTAAATAATAACACTCAGCTGAGGCCATTTTAGTCATTTCTAGAAAATTCTAACTGGCAGCCATACTTTTTCTTAAACGTCTCCAAGCCTTGTAACTGTGTAAAGAGACTAGATTGGCTGCAAACAGAAACCAGCTGGTCCATGTTCCCAGTTTTGAGCATCCCAGCGAGGTGCCCCAGAGTTTCCTTTAAACTCCCACATAACTCCAAGCTTCCCTACAGGTTTGCACTCCCTCCCACATTCACACATCAGTCCATCTATCCAATTCGTGACACGTGTGCAATTACTTCACGACACTAAATATAACTGAGGCACTCTAGTATGTATCAAAGGAATAACCATTTTGCACATACTGTATTTGGCAAGAATGGTAGAAAGACTAGACACTAAAAGATATTTAAACCCACCTCTAGGCTTTCCTCTCATCAGGTATGGAAGTGCATT